TTTTTTTTTTTTTTTTTGTCATATTCAAAATTCTGTTGTGTTCTTAAATTTTGAAGGAATTTCACTAGTGTTTATTCATTTTCAAGGTTTGATAAATCCTGAAAACCATTTTGCAAGTCTCTTTAAGCATTAAATTCAATCCGAGATGGGGCAAATATTATTTGAGGACGACGATTACGTGTTTAAACTTTCATCTTTTATTATGATTTTCTTGTTATTTTTTATTTGTTTCTTCTCCATTCCCTTTGTGGGAAAACATTATTCCAACACATTGCACACAAATGAATTTAAACTATTAGTCTTTTGTTGTATTGATTGACTTTTCCTCTTAATATTCTTGACTCAATATAAATCTACTATATGAGTTTTTTTTATATAAAAACTTCAAGAAAATACAATCACGGCAAGAAAAGAATGTGCATACGACTCAAGATCTTTTTAGCAACGTGGTCAAGAAAATGAGGTTGGACATATGAGCTTTTACTAGTTGTGTGTACAAACTTAACAACATATTAAATATGCACTATCAATAAGTTGACTTGTTACAAAAACTTATTATACTCATCAATGATATGTAACTTCATAATAGTCTTACTAATAAAATATTATCCTACCATATAAAAAGAGGTGATATCTATGAAATACTACGGTAGCTTAAAGTTTGTTGATTCGAATTTACTAAATTCCATCAATTATTATTTAACTCAAAATGAAGTGACAACTCTTAATTAGAAAATTCAAAGATCCAAATTTTAAATGTCTTTTAAGAGGAAGTTTTGGTCGTCTAACTTTTGTTTGAGGGTCATTTTCGTTATAAATCAAACAATCAAAACAAAGAAAAATTGACAATAAATTGAATAATTGAAAAGGTCAACATTTTGATGCTAAGAAAAAATAGTCCATTGCATGATGACATACTTTGTGCAAGTTTGACTAAAACAAATTTACACTATATCGCTCCAATAGTAAGTAAAAATTGTTACTCATATCTTAAAAAATATTTTTAAACAAGCTTGAAATAAAAAACTTATTTAAAATAAATTTAATCTATTATGCAAACATGATATATTGCTTTCTGCTTATAGAGTTTGTACCTTTTGTTTCTTTGTGTTAAAATATCTTCATGCAATGACAATGCAATTTATGATACTAATAATTATTAGAGTCCATTTATTCCCTTTGAACACTAAATCATTCAACATTAATAGACCATGTTTGGCTAATTTATAAATATCTTTACTTATAAATTCACCCGCTTATAAATTCTTCTGAAACGGAGGCTTAATTATTTTGCAATTTGCACGACAGATTTTCAGTTGATTTTCAAGAAAAGATTTACAAACCTAAATAAAGAACGGAAATACTCAACTCTTATTGAATTTAATGTTTTCTTAAATTTTAATCCGTTTGTTTATCATTTTTAATCCATAAAAATGAAAAATATGACCGTTATCCATCACATTAAACAAACAATTTTGAATTTCTATCTTTTGTGTGGAGTCCAATAACGGCTATATTTTTCATTCTCATTCTACAATAATAAGAATCAAACGGGCTCTAAGTTAATATTATGTTCTTCCATATTAAGATTATATTTTAAAAAATAAACGAGTCCTAATATTTGAAGTTACAATTTATAGCTAACAATATTGGATGTAGTCAAGTATACGCGAAGCAAAAAATATTTTGATTTTTCTTGGGAAAAAAAGTCAATTACTTTGTGTAGCCGTAGTTTACTTTTAATTAAAATAAAATAAGTTGATGATCGTTATGGCTTACAAATTCAAGTCTAAGGTCACATTAGTCAAGGATTTCAATTGAAAAAATTCACATCTTCGTGTGAATTCTCTATGTCACTTTCCCTTCTGAGAAAATTATTCAAAAATGACCAAATTTATGAGAAAACTAATAATAGTCTCAATTTATTCATTTTTTTTCCCTAGCCACAGCTTACTTATCACTTCCCCACGCATGTCCACTTCCTCGCACCTTGCGACGAGGGACGAAGTTAGAGGAGGTTAAAACTCTAGGCAAGAAAAAATAATAATAATAATAATAATAAGGAAAAAGGGATTTTTTTTTTTTTTAAAAAAAATTCTATGCAAAATTTCATTTTTTGGGCAGGAGGGGATATTCCATCCTCCTCCTCCTCCTCAGCCTCAAGTGTTTTCGAGCTTTTTCTTCTTGTTTTACACGTCGTTAATTCTTTATTATTTTTCTTCAATAGTTAATAGATTTTTAAAACGTTAAGTCCTGTTCGGTAGATATTTTTTGGAAATAATTTTTGTGAAAAATAATTTTTAAAAAAATATATGATTAAAAATAGGGAATAATTTTATGAATTTACCTACAAAATTATTTTATTAAAATATAAGATTAAAAGTGAATTTAGAAAAACAAATGAATTTTAAATACTTTCCAGTTTCCACTCTCTCCTCCACTTTGAAAAATGCAGCAGGTACTGGAAAAAAAAAATCAGATTTTGTACACAAATTTAAATTCCTCTCCCAGGATACGGGTCACACTTTAATTTAATATCGCCAAAAAATGGGACCACGTGTTGTGTGCATTCTGTCCTGTTTCGGGGTAATTTCCTGTATTCAAAGCATTGTTACCTTTACTTTACCCATGTTCCTTGGACAACCATTCGAAGAAGAGAGTACAAAGAGTCTATTCATTGGCTCTCCCTCTCCCTCTTCCTCTTCCTCCAACGCCCACCCCCATCTTGTTGGGTGAAGATTTCACCCTTATCTCACCCAAAAACACAAAAAATGGACCGAAACCATGAACATGCATTAACCCAGATGAGAAGGTCAGTTGAAAAGCTAGGTTGTTCATCTCAGGTAATGTTTAATCGTCTTCTTCACACTCACATTATTTACAAAATCAAAAGAAGATATGAAAAAAAGTTTAGTTCTTTGATGCCAAAAGCCAATTTCTTGCAGAAGTATGAAGATCCAACTTTGATGAGATACTTGACTGCAAGATCAATGGACGCAGAGAAAGCTGCGAAGATGTTTGTTCAGTGGATAAAATGGAGGGCTTCATTTGTCCCACTTAACTACATCCCTGATTCTGAAGTTCCAGATGAATTAAATGCAAGAAAGGCTTATTTGCAGGGCATATCGAAAAATGGGTGTCCATTACTGATATTCAAAGGCAGCAAGCATTTTCCTTCCAAAGATCAACTCCAATTCAAGAGTAATTACTTCTTACGTCTTTTAGCTTATAAGTTAAGTGCTATGTGATAATCTAAACTAGACTAAGTATCTAATTTTTGTTATAAAAGGATGCCTTCCATTCTTTAGCATTGTTAATAGCTTCAAAGGGAAAAGTTCTGATTTTGACAATCTGAAGTTCATCAATTAACATAATTGAATTGTTGACATGGGGTCATCGAATGATCTTTTCAACTTTCAAGCATGATGGCCCTCTGTGTTTAAACAATTTCTGTCTCCTATAATTTTGTAATTTTATTGAGTTTTGGGTATCTGATTGCC